CTATGAAACGTGTTTGTTACAACGAAGTCCACGCCAATGACGCGTAATTGGATTTGCTACGTTCGTTTCTAAGTGAATTATGGAAAAATATCATAACAACAAACAAAACAAAACAAAACAAAACAAAAAAAGCAAAGGTATTACTCAGCTACAAAAATAACAACAACAAAATTTATATTTGTTAGAAATTCAATCAAAATTTAATTATGCAAATATGTTAAGTTTTGCTCAAATTGTCTCCAAAGTAGCAAAGTGAAGGTAAGTGAATGTAGAATAAAAAGAAAAAACAAACGTGAACGAAGCAAGTACAAAAACGTGTAGCAGCATTTTAGGCGGTTAAGCAGCTTCGTAATAATTTTATTTGGAAATGTAATTTACCTTAATTCATTGGCAGATTCTTCCTTATCGCACGAAAAAAGTAAAAAATATTTATTCAAATCAGAGCTTCCATTTCGTATTCTTTTGAATCCCATTGTACACACAAACTCTGTAATCAGATTATGACACTGTTTCTTTTCTACGAACATGCATACATGTATATGTACTCGTATATATTTTTACTTGCGAATGCGAAAACATTACCATTTCAAGATGGATTCATGATAATTTATATATTTCTCTGCATAATTGTACATAAAGAACATAAGCATTTGAAGGGCAATGTCTAAAATCTGAAAGGAGCACTTGCTGCCACTAAAAAGCACAAGGTGTGTCGCTAAACAAAAGTGACCAGCAAATGCAGCCATAATAAAAAGGGAACAAATCTCAATTTGTGGGAACTCAATCAAGAAAATTGTACTTTTGTTAGCTTTATAAATTTATCTTGATGTAAAACAGCTTCATTGAGGTTATATGTAACCACATACATACGTATGTAGTACGAATGTATATACACTGACTCAACCAATTTTTTTTTTAATTATTCGTAATGTTTTTCGAGATAACGTAAAGTCGGAATTTCAATGCTCTCACCCTAAGGATTGTTCTATACCGAAAAAAAATTTTACCTTTTTCTTAATTTCAAAAACAAAAATTATTTAAGGTCGGTCAAACTATTTTTTAATACTAACGACTTTTGTTGGTCGCCCCATTAAATTTGGTAGGTTATTAAGGGTCCCATAAAAAATTGCAAAAATATAAAATTGTTAAATTAACAATTGGGTATTGTTACTGGAAGTCTCCTGAGGAGAATCGAAGGATATTGGCTTTCAAGAATTCTATACCATTTATACGAGATATTGTTTTTTCCCACATAAAATACATGGAAAACTTTGAGCGCTTTGACCGACCTCTAAATATTTGTTTTTATTTCATTTGTTTTTGCTTTATTTCAAATTATTAAAAAAAAAAACACATTTCTAAAGTTTTTTCGACAGGGTAACAATCCAAGGGGGTGAGAGCATTAAAATTCCGACTTCACTTTTTCACATGCATTTTTTTGGACCACCCTAATGAACACACAAACACATACATACATATGTATATGGGATGTGTCATGCCAATTAAACCACCTCAGTGTCCAAAATTTAGGATTTGCAACAAGCCTAAACGTCTTCATACTATGTGTATTTAGTTAAGAAAAAATTCGGGGTTTTGAAAAAATCAATGTGGCATCTCAACTATGACGTCGAAACTAACTGTGAATTATATTTTTCCTTACAACTTTGTACCTCTGGAATAACCAAGACTAAAGAAGAAAAAATGAAAGCAGTTCTTCTGTTTTTGTGGTTGTCAATTAGGAGTATGGAATCTAATTTTAAAAATTAAAAATGGCGGATCGAATATGGTGGACGAAATTTCAAAATTTCGTCTTATATACTTCGAACTTAGTACTTTGGGACTTTTTGGTCGCTGATTACTGATCTGGATTTGGATTTTAGAATTTCAAAAGGCGGATCTATATTAGATCTAACATTTATCGGAAAAAAAGTCTAAATCGATCATACGTACATGGCGTATGAGTAACAATCTCATCTCATCTGAGTGACTCATACGCCTTGTACATACGTAAGTTCGGTATTAACTTTTCCTTTATAAATGGTAGATCTAATATTCGTAATCAGCAACCGCAAGGACGAAAAAAACACCTTTTTTGTATTTTAATGTTGGGTACTCTAGAGGCACAAAAGTTGTGAGTCAAAATCTAATTTACAGTTAGTTTAAACGCCATTATTGGTACACCATATTGAGTTTTTTAAAAGGTAACTTTTTTTAAACTAAATGCACATATGAGAAAGTTAAGGCTATAAAAGACTTCTTGCAAAGTTCTGAGTTTTTGACAACGACGCAACTCACTTGGCATGAAACGTCGCATATATAAATAAATTGTAAATACTTAAATAATAAATAAACGGAAGTTCTTCGCAGATTGCCTTCTTTATATTATTTTTATTTTTCTTAAATTAATTGCAGTCTCTCTTAAAATTTTGGATTAATGAAATATACAGCTGAAGTATAGTATTAGCAGAGGGCATAAAAATTAGTGAACTAAAATATTTTAAAATTAGCTATTTACGAGGGGAAGCAAGAACAATGACAACATCCGATGAGGCGGCTCTTGGAGTATTCGAGAGAAAGATTTTGCGGAAGATTTACGGCCGACGGCAAGTACCGCAGACGATAGAATGATGAGCTGTATGAGCTTAGCAACGACATGTACATAGCACAGCAAATTAAAATACAGCGGTTCCGCTGGCTTGGCCATGTCGCTCGAATGGACACCGACGCTCCAGCTCTGAAAGTATCCAACTCGGATCCCATGGGTGGTAGAGGAAGGACCTCACTGCAATGGAAAACCACGTTGAGAAGGGCTTGACTTCACTTGGCGTCAGTTGGCACAGAAGAGAAACGACTGGCGCGCTTTGTTGACCTCGGCCAAAATCGCTTAGGTGGTTACAGCGCATTTGCATTTGATCATGCGTTATAAGGAAGAAAATGCGCAACACCCTCAACAACAAAAAAAAATATATAAAAATCAACGGTAATTTTCGGTGACTTGAAACTTGCACGTTGTGAAATTAAAACTGAGTGGGCTACAAAATTGCGTACCTGAAAGTTTTCTACAAATTCTGATAAAAAAGTTTTAATATTTTTTGACAATTTTTTGAAGTTTCTGTTATAGATTAATTGCATTTTAAAGGAAAATTGTTATAGATTAATTACATTTTTCTAAAATTCGTTAAAAAATAAATAAACAACCATAAATTGCAAACAAGGTCATTTTGAATTTTGGTGCTAAATATTTGACCACAGCTCTATGTACATATTAAAGAGGTCTAAAATCTATGCCATTAGCAGTTTAAAGTTGTTGGTCGCTTCGTGGTCTTTCCAAAATAAAAGTTTGTCTCTGTTAGCTTTAATTTTTCATTCTAACTACATGTATCACTTTCGCTACTCAATCAACTTTCGTGCATATATATGTATATATATTTTATAAGCCACGCACTTTCCCCATTAGTTATATAAATTGCATAACTTAATCTGCACTGATATAAATCCCCGAAAAATTAAATTAAATATTCCTCTTCAAGCCACTTGAGTACAGTTTCGATTTCAGCATTAAAGAGTTTACGATACGTACATATGTATATACATATGACGTGAATATACACGTACATATATATATACACTTGTAATAGTCACGTCATCGCGCGTATCTAATACATTTCCTAACAAATACACACTACTCTGCTATGTAGCATTCCTCAGTGGCGTACTTAATACCATCGTTCAGTGGCCACTTCAGTTTCCTTCGCCACGCCATTGCTGTCATGTCCTTTAGTACATATAAATGTCCAAGCCACTGCCAAGTTGGTAGTTAATTTTCACACGTCCACGCAGCTTGTTGTCGCATTTCCGTTCTCGCTCAAGCCATCCTCAACCGAATTCTTTTGGCTTTGCCCTGACTTTTATGTATTTTCATAACGGTTTTATATGTGGCACGTATTGCATGTCTCCGCTGCACCAATTGTCGACGTCACCTGTACTGTAGTAGTACGCCATTTAATTACTTTGCTGTGACCAGATGCGCGGGAGCAAACAAAAAAATAAGCAGACAAATGCTGACAAAATGAAGTTTGTATACTCAATTTTCTGAACTGCATACATACATGCATGACGCCTCGACGCCTTTTAGTGCTTGCTAACTAAATAAAATAAATTGTAGATGCTGTTTACTACTCTGCAAGTAGCAACTGCTTCTATGTAGGTTTGTGTAGAAAAAATTGTGCGGATGTAACCCAAACGTACCAGGATGAATCAGTGTCGAACTGACCTAAGGTAATGCTTAGGGGGTTACAGTTTGTAAAAATTTATATTTTTCGCTCACATATTTGGTAAGTGCTAACGGAAGGACTTTTTAAGATTTCTCACTTCAACTCTTACTCTCTAAACCGAGGTCAAGTGCCGTGGAGTCATTACACTCGTATTCAGGAAAATCGGTTTGGAAACGAACCGTCGAAGACTGCTCCAGGTAGGTCATTATAGCCCTGCACGCTTGCAAGACGGCTATAAGTAAAAAGCGGCAAATAATATGATGGCGGAATTATGACTACAAAGACCGTTCCTCCACTCGTTGTAGGCAGCAAATTCCCCATTAGAAGAGGAGCTACATACCTGGACTCAGGGTCGGTGGTTCTAAGCCAATGGTAAGCGAAACAACATAGTAGGTTGTGGGATTCACTCCAGTGTATCTCCAAATTTCAGTTTTCGCTTACCTGACCACTGTAACGTTTGTCAGGCAGACCTAGCCACATTTAAGGAGGCCAACTTAGGACCTATGGTGTAACTAAAGCAAAAGTCTTGCAGGTAGCCGGAAGGCAACGGTAGACGTTCAGAGAAGCACCTCGGTTGGAACAGATGAGATTTAGCTAAGTCAGATCATTGTTAGGAGATACGCTATTCAAAAATTATGCAAAAAGTGCAGTGGATTGTATGGAGTGGAAAAGTATTTACATACACATGCATAAAATATTTCTATAAATAAATTTATTTCTACTCACAGTAATAACTTCCGGAAATTGCGGCATTCATTCTTTTTCAATTATAGTATTTTCAAATTGCACTTTTTCGCCACCAAAGATGTTTCGCACTGAATGACTGGCAAAGTAATACCATCGATTATATCTGGTTACACTGAAATAATATAATAAAATTCATATTAGTTCTCAACTAACTTGAAAATAAACTTATAAATATGGACTAAATAATTATACTTCTTAAATTTTTCTTCAATAAAATATCCATACTGTCGACAAATTTACACTCGACTATTTTACAAAAAACTTTAATCATGCATAGGCCCCGCCTGCGTGATATAGGGTACAAAGTTACGCTATTACGTTATTATGTTACAGCTATGTACACCTTAATCTATTACAACCAGGGAACGGACTTTAGGAAACTGCCTTTTTATCTGCTAAAGAGATAGCGAATATTCGATTAAGAATGTCTACGAATTAGCTTTCCCTGATTAAATATATACTCATTTGATGTTGCCTTTTTTTTCCTTCTCTACCTTTTATTGTGATAATATAAACGTTTCAAACGTTCCATATTTAAATTGGGCGCCACTTGTATAAACTCACGTCGAGCGCACGTTTAGTACATTCAAGGTATTTTTTCGCGAAAATCGAACGAAATGCTGCCAGAAAACTTCAAAATACATCTTTTGGTTCAATGCTACTACAGCTATAGAGATTGAAGTTTTGTGTGTGTTAAAAACTCGTAAGGAGAAAATAGTCAAAGATTCAAAGTACAATTTTTCGTATACTGAAACTAGTTCATAGTTTTTCTATTTTTACTTGTAAAATATACATTTCTAAAATAAATGCATTTTTTTGTCTATTTATCGGTTCTTGTTTTTTTAGTGCCTTCTTTTCCTTTTTTGCGATTTCTAGTGCCTCTTCGTGCCTATTTCGTTATTTATTATGCCAGTTTTAAAGGTTTTTAGGTCCAAAAAATCCCGAATATCTAAATTACATTCCCTCTGGTCTCGCGTCTTGTTGAAATCGCATCTGTCCCAGTGAAAATTTTACATTTCAAGCCATAAAAAGGCCAACCAATGACCATAGCACTGAGAGTTTGCGATGCCTTCGAAATTCTCAAAGAACCGCGTTCTATTTAGCGCTGGGCAGTGACATAATACGTGTTCTAACCACCTAAATTGCACCTTGTATCTTGCTAATTCAGTCTTAGTTTGGCCGTATGAGTTGGTGTGCGATAGTATTCCGTAAGTATTTCTGGAGTCTTCTCTTGAGAGAGATAAAAAATATTTCGTTGTTTTGCGAGTATATGAGCGGAGCCTTCTATTGGCAACCTTAGCCAACACATTGGTCTTCCCATTCTCTTCTATACTTTTGTGCCCTGAAACGCAGTCTGTAGTGGCTTATCTAAACATGAAAACTTCATCATAACTGGCCTGACACTGCTGTGGATTCAGCGTTTGCCTCTGCCTGGGATATGGTACAGTAGTTTGAGAGCTTTCATGACTGATTAAGTTCAAACTGTGGTCAGGGTACTGCAGCCCCCACTCCTAATTTCATCTTTGATGCATTTGTAAAGATGTTGTAAGTGTTGCGATTGGATCCCAGTCCTTTCTTCCACTCTTCGTGTTCTATTACTTACTTCTCTAGGTTCTGCCCTAGCCCTGTCACGAGGAATGACATAGTCCGTGCTCTCGTCTGTTTCTATAATTTGGCTAATATTAAAACCTATTAAAACTCTCACCTAACACCTCTCCCAACTCAAGCAACTTTCTAATCAAATTCGTAAAGGTAAATAATTCATGGCTCTATTTTCGTAAAAACTTCATACCCTCGCCCTCTGAATATGTTATTGTTTGACTATAAACCTCTAGATATATAGTGAATTAAAAACAAAATTTTCTGATTTAGAAACAAACTCAAACAAGAACTCGACACATTCTCAAATAAGTTCACACATACATACGTATTTATGTATAAAAAAAACCATTTTGTAAGCCAATTTTCTTTCCGATGCCTCGACAATCAGAGAAATTTCGTTCCTCGAGGGAGTTATTTGTTATTTTAGATAAATCGAGCCGATTGCGGTGAGCTTGGTGAGCGAATGCCTCACAAATCGGCGATCTCGACGATGTCGCAGTAAACATTCATTAACATTGATAAACATATATTGCCTGGAATAAATATGCCAGCAGGTAAGCTATGGCAAACCGAAATTTATACCTATGTGCATATGCAGAGCCTCTCAGAGGCTTAAAGAATTCTTTGAAAGCAACATTTTTGTTTGAAAACTTCGTCTTTTATAGAATACAAATATATTCAAAAATGCAAATATGTAAAAAAAAACAATGCAAATACGCAAAATGGTAAAACTGTAAGAAAATTTATAAATTGTTCGCGAAAAAATTTGTTTAAAAGGTTCTTTGCTGCAAATATGAGTGCAATAAATGAAATTAAATTTATGAGGCATATACATTAGGGCGGGTCGAAAATCTAATTTTTCTCAAATCCCTTGGTAATAGTGAAAATATATTGTATCATGAAATCAACAACAAGCCTGCAAAATATTAGTCTTTTATTTTAATAGTAAGAGCCCGCGCATCGACTGCCAAGTGACCCACAGCACACTAGTCGAATAAGACCAATTCTTGTTAAAAATTCTGGGTTCAGCAAAAGGTTTGGTGCATATTTTTAGATAATGAATCCGTTAACGCAAAAGATAAAGTCAAATATCATTTCTGGCAGCCCTTTAGCTTATGTTTAATCTCAAAGGTATCTGTTTTCAATCAAATTTTAATTGTTCTCTTGATAATTGCACTGGCCTATAGTCGAACGATGTAAAGAACATCAGTAATATTGCTGGCGTTCATTTATTTAGGTCGCTGGTTCCAAATATTCTAATCCTTTTTTTAATATTAGCTATAGTTTGCGAAATTTTGCAAATTTAGAAACAATTTCGGTAGCTCTAATAGAAAAGCCATTATTTTCCATCATCGTGGAAAAATTTTGTTTATGCAAATGAGTATGGAAACACTGAACAGGCACAACTTCTAGAAACACTAATTAGTTTACATATGTTTATGCATACAATAGAAAAATTGCAAATGTGAAAAATTTTTTTTTGCATTTTTTTTATTTTAAAATAATTTGTTTATAATCTGAATTATTTTCATCATATTATTGTCATAAATCAGTAACAGTAAGGCTCGCCTTCAATTTGGTAATTATTACGTACCGATCGAGTAACATTTACCAAAGTTATATCGAAAAACTTAAGCGGATCTCAAGTTTTTTTCTAAAAAAATTTCTCTTCAATTGTATAAATAACCTTTAAATGAAAGAACCGGATTGCAGAAAAGTGTGCCAGGGAGACTCTTTTTTTCGTTCAAGCTGAATGCAAAGCAATATTGTCCAATTGGAGAGTCGTCAAAGGGATTTCCCAGGATATGTTAAAGACTATTGCATTTATCTACAGTCACTTTCTCACATATTGGAGTTAACTAAAATATTTTTGTATATCTAAACACTTATTGCACCTTCCCTACCTTCATATAACGGCAAATTTAGAAACCGCGAAAAATGTGCTTCTTCGGTGACTAATGGAACCATTCCGCACCAATTTTCAAGACAACATAAATGGACTTATAGTGGGCGTTTCTCACCCTAATTGTATTATGTTAATGTTTGTAAATATTTATATGCTTTAAACTACTATTAACTTATCAAACGATTCCTAAACTTTGACAATACATGTTTGACTTCATTCACCACGATCTTGAAAACTGACCAAATCGGCGTGACCAAGCCCATGGTCCTTTTAATATTATATAAACATCCGAAAACATTAAAACGTTTGAAATAAATTGTAAGTAATGAAGAATTGCAAATTCATAAGGGAAAATTATACTAAATTTAATAGTTCTTAATTTGATATATCGTCCTGTTTATAACAATTGACGCATTCCATAGATATTACTAGCCAAAGTTTAATTTTCAAAATTCATACATTTTGATTCCATTGCGCGGGCTAAAGATACGTTTTGAATTAATCTTTCGTGGCCAATAACAATTGGCTTAGACATAAGACATCATAATATTACTATTGCAATACGGTCAAATGCATTTTATTTTCCCCCATACAAAATCGGCCCAGCCTAATATACATTAGGATGCAGCGGAAACCAATAAATTTGCGTTTCAGAATTCAAATAACCGGGATCGTTGCATTCTGTCGTCAATATAATAACCCTAAAGTTTTTTGAAATCAGTTAATATTTACTGCCTCTCCATTGTGGTTGAAATTTTGAGATTTTTGTAAATTTTAAACAAATGGCGCAATATATCAAACTTATTTTTATAAAAATTGTAGGTATGCAGTTTTGTAAGCCATTAAATTTTAAACACATAAAATGCGAGTTTGGAGTAGCTGATGCTCATTCTTGTTTTTAAACAATTTAATTTTTTTAAGGTGTTGCTCAATTTCTCTAGATAAAAACATTTTGGAACAAACTGTGTATGGAACAAAATGTGTAATACCATCAACAAAAAAATTGCCAAAAATTAGCGGTAGTTTGTCGCCACTTTAAGCTTGCAACCCTGGTATACTAAATTTTATGGCCCACAAAAGTGCATACCCAGAATTTTTGTAGGGATGATCTTGATAAATATCCTTATTTGTTTAAGATTTACAAAAATCTCAAAATTTCAATAAAAAAGGGGAAGTAGAAAGTTTAACCGAATTCAAAAAAAAAAATATTCGGGTATTCTATTGTCGTCCAAAGGCAACGATGCCTCGCTATTCGCATTTCGAAACGCTAACCATTGTTTCCGCTCCACCTTAATATACAAAATTTGAAACGCCTAGTTTACCGTCCATTCAAGCTGGGTGTATACACACATATGTATGTACAGTTACTTATTATGTAGCAAACTTAATTCATTTCGAATTTTTTGTGGATTTACAACTTTTTTGTGTTTCTTGTTTTACGCATTTACAACCACCGAAATTGCCTGGAATCAAAACAATAGCGTCTATCTCGGGTTACTATAGTACTTACATAGAGTTTTTTTTTTTTGTTTTCTCATTTTTTTGTTTCTTAAATACTTAAGTGCATCGAAAACAGTTGGTGCACAGCCCGCAGCGTGGGAAAG